GGATGGCCTTTGGAATGGATTGCCTTCAGATGTTGTAGAGGCAGTAAATTTAAGTGAGTTTAAGAGAAAGCTTGATAAGTATGTGAATGGTAAAGGCTGGCTTTGAGATTTTTTTTTAATTATTTTATTTTATTTTAGAAGATGGAACAGCTGCAATGGACCAATAGGTCCCATGTTGTCCCAGAACATTGTTATTGGGTAGTAATTCTCCACACACATAATATTATAATAACACATTCTGTTATAACTAGGGATGTGCTAAATACAAGAGCCATAAAATTCAAGATTTAATAAAGTACATTTCTATGTTTGAAATAACACCTTTTATGAATCAAAACTCTGTCAAAGCAATTTTATTGAAAAGTTACATATAACAAAATTTCCAGCAGTCATTACACAAATATCCAACAATTAAGTCTCTTGCAAACTTAAGTTTAATAACAGAATTAATAATAGCCCACTTTCTTTATTATTTAAATCATACAATACAAAATGTACAAAAATATGTCACCCTTTAATTTACATAGCATTAACTGAAGTAAATAACTTAATAACCAGAATGAAAACGACCATAAGATTTCAGGAACAAAATGCTCTATTTACTGAACGTTTTGCTTTAGAATTGTGTAGTTCACTAGTAATTTTGTAGCATAAAAAATATTTCATACTACAATATTACAAAACTGATAAAAAAAAATCTTTAAAACCATAGTACCACAAAGGCTATTAATCTTTATGTCTGTACCCACATGGGTTATACCAAAATACCACAAAGGCTATTAATCTTCATGTCTGTACCCACATGGGTTATACCAAAATACCACAAAGGCTATCAATCTTCATGTCTGTAACCATGTGGGTTATACCAAAATACCACAAAGGCTATTAATCTTCATGTCTGTACCAACATGGGTTATACCAAAATACCACAAAGGCTATCAATCTTCATGTCTGTACCCACATGGGTTATACCAAAATACCACAAAGGCTATCAATCTTCATGTCTGTACCCACATGGGTTATACCAAAATACCACAAAGACTATCACTCTTCATGTCTGTACACACATGGGTTATACCACTATACCACAAAGGTTATCAATCTTCACGTCTGTACCAACATGGGTTATACCAAAATAACAATTCTGAATGAACCTGGAAATTCAAATTAATTTAAGTTTTATTTTGAGTCTCATTTGTAAAAAACTGTAAAGCAAAAGGTAGAGTAAGTACATTAATAGTTCCTAAAGCCTTATAATCACTCTTATACTGTTAAAAATACATTTACAGTAATTTCTCAAACAATGCATAATTAACACTAAAAAGTGTAACTAGATAAATGACTAGACGATTGATATTAATCAATATATTACAGTTGTTTTAACCAGTAACAAGCTGTGAAAATATTGTTTTTTGATTTTGTTTGACTTATAAATCTCATCTTATTGTTTAATTCAGAAGAAAGTACATAATATAAAATAAAAAATTAAATATTTTAATTTAGGACAAAATGGTTTTAAGCAGGCTCCGAAAAAAATGAATTTATGGAGAAACATTTATACACAAAATTCCACTCAAAATGATTATGAGATCAGTAAAACAAAATTATATTACATAGGTAATATAATAATATTAATTAATTAATAATTAATTAATGTGGTAATAAACAGAAATACTCTTTAAACTATGCCACACAATGGTTTCTCGAACGTACAATAAAGTTACAAACCACTAAAAAAGAAACTAGACAATAAATTAAAATTAACTCAGATTTTGAGCAATCCAGCAGGTTAGGTTCTTATGAAGTACATGGTACCTAAACTGGATCTAAATATCTACAAAATTAAATTGAAATTAACACTGAAAATTACCACATAAAGTATTATAATCAATTTCTACTCAAATGAAATATTTTGTACAGTTCACCTATTAATATGAACTTCGTTTTGGATACACACTTCTGTCACCAACGTTACGCTGGATGGTACGTTTAAAGTTATTCACAAGTATTATAAATTGTGACACATTGATTTGGATAACAAGATTGTCTAAACAGGTTTGAATATTACAATATAAAAAAAAAAGTTTGGTATAAAACAGGTTGTATCAAAAGATGCACATGCTAATGCCAGGCTACTAAAAGGTTCAGAATATTCATGTTTTTATCTATTAAAAAACTCAATGAGAACTAGAAACCCCTGTTTAAAATCCTGTTCTTAAAATAAGGAATATTATGCACCGTAGCAAGAAATCAATGAAACAAAATTTACACACTATAACAATGAAAGTTTCACATTATCTTAAATAAGTGTTCGCAACAACGTAATTCACTGATATTATTGTACCATAAAAAATATTTGGTACTACTACTTTATAAAACAGTTTTATTATAAAATCATACTAAAAATTACTCCACACTGACTATTGCCCAAAATCAACCACTTTTAATATTGGAAGTTCAAATCAATTACCATTTTAATTTTACATTTTGAGCCTTGTTAGAAAAAGGCCAAAAAACGGCATAGATAATTTTTCCATTTTGGACTAACAACAACGACTAGTATATGGGTTGTCATATTTGATCCTCTTCACTCAGGTATTCTTCCTGATGTAAACCACAGCTGCTACTCCGACAGCAACTGCTGCCATCCCGACAGCTGCTATCGAGAATGTGTGAATCGTCTTTTTAACGTAACCTCCCATAACACACAGAACCTTTTCCTGCAAATAATTACCAAAACTAGATAAAAATAATAAAGTCAAAAAGCAGTTTTCATCCACTCTTAAAAAACAACAACAACGGATTCGACCCTAGTAGCGCACACAGTGCAGATAACTCTTTGTGCAATGTATGCAAGTTTACACAAAAACACAAATGAACATAAACTTTAACATTAAGCCCTTTAAACATAGTAGTGGATATAAATCAAATTGAAAACTTTGTTTTTATTTCAAAGCAAACATTTATTAGTAAAGCAGCTAAGTTGTCCTTTAAATACTTAAAACAGTAAACCGATATTTCTCTCTTGCTGTAGTTTTATAGTTATAGTGGTGAAAAAGAAGTAGTAAAAATGTGTTTAACTTTAAGAAATAAAACAAACTTTTTTTTATATATGATTAACAACCTGAAATGTGTGGGTTTTTATTTTAATTTATACAACAGAACACAATGTCAAAAGTAATGTTTTGAAAAATATGTGGACTTAATGTTTTAATAAGAATTTTCCGATATTCAGTTGTTTAAATTTAATTATTACTAGACCACCCGTGACCCATTGGGTCACCCACTATTCAAAGTTTATTAAGAGTTCAAGCTAATTTCAATCTTGCACCGAAATAAAGGTTTATTTTGAGATAATTTAATTAAATATTTCAATCCACTCGTGTTATTCATAATTCAAGAAGAGATATTTGATTGTTTATCGGGAGTAAAAGGCAAGTCAGAGTTTTCAGGTATTGTAATGAATTAGTTCATTATGTTATGGTCTTTCCTC